TGTCCACAATTATAGCAGACAATATTGTGCTTATTGGACCGAAAAGCTAATGCTTTTTCACACAGCTAGGAAGCTAGTCCATTATTTTATTGCACACAACTGTAACGCAGAAACTGATTGGATTTTTCCAATGTCAACGACATAAAAATGTCATTTGTGAATAGTGGCGTGTGCCGTGTGGATATAGTCCATTGCATGTATATACACATACATTAAATGATCACTTCAGTCTTTACCCACTGTGCTTTACCTAATGAAATCTACAATAATATTATAATGTCGTTTATTGCTGCAAAGCGTTCAGATTGAACGACATTTTATTTGCACTTTTATAATACTTTATATACTCGAGTTTATCCTGGGCGAACATTTTACTTTGTTTACTTGGCGGGAAATTGCCAGTGCTTTGCCAGTAATTTATTCACGTGCTACGCACGAGAGTTAAACATGGAAGTACATCAGTACATGTTACGAGAACCACGCTGAAGAAATAAACAACTGTGAAACTTTTTAAAGTTTTATCTTGTGTGATACAATAAATATAATAGCATAGCTAAATGCCAGCAAAACCGTTGAAACTAGACCTGAATGCACACCAGTTTTAACTTGATTGGTCACTTCCTGTGATACAACAACAGCAGGGGTGATGGCTATCACATGACATGTAGCACTACAACCTACAATGAATATTTGCTCATTTGAATGTGAACACAATAGTACAATGTTCATTCCAATTGTTCTTCCACGGCAAGACTAAAGCTAGTCAGCCTAGTTTACTGATAATATCAGTAATTTTGGTATTGGCTGGTATATCAACTCAACTCCTCACTCCTGGCATAAATGCTGTCACTGTACAGCTTGGTACAGTTTGTGGGAATAGTATACATCATGCATGCTATAGCAATTATAGCCCCTTTTTACTATCTCAGTATAGTAACCTGATTAGTCACTAGACTGAAGTAGGTTATTATCTTTTTCCAAAGTGGGAATACTGGCAGTGAAAATCTGAAATGCTAATCGATGCCAGTGGGGCAGTGGCTATGTTTTGAACCATGAAACAAACAACTTGACCAGGCCAATGAGAAATTTACTGAATTGTACAGTTTGTACCTGCTTATTTAATTATAACCATGCATTAGCATTACTGGGATCAGATTTCAATTCCTGATTAGAATTGAAGGTGTGGTTAATGTCTGCAAATCTGCATCGAGGCTAATCTTGTTCCCTGAGAACAAAATTGGACATCATTATCTTAACCTCTTGGGGGCTTTTTGTATAGCCAAAGCAATTTGTATTAAAGTATAAAGATTAGTAATTTGCTATGCCTTGAATTTAAGAACAGCAGTGTAGAATATTCACTGGTCATTATGTATGGAAATATACCCAATCTCCGCTTCAAGCCAAACAAATCAGGCCAGACTGGAACAGTAGAGCGGTCTGGTACTCAATGACAATGTTTCATATAACAATAACAACACACCATTGACATTGGGAAGTTGCACTATCCTATTTTGTAAATCATTATCTGTTTAACATGGCATAGCCATAGGCTAAACACCTTGTACATATGTCATATATAATAGACATAGTCCATCTGCTGCAATCACTGTTGTTCTGGACTGCAGGACAAACATTGCATTTATAGAATGACATTCATTCCTTCACAGGACAATACAAAGACCAATTACCAAATAGCAATGCCTGTGATGCGATACTATTCAGTCTTGGTAAACTCGACTATACCGTCGGTATACGTGCTAATGAGTAATGGTTATGATGAATTTTAAATGGCTGATAACAACAATAACAGTTACAAAATTCAAAACTGACGAACCGGCTGTCACTCGAATGCAATATGCATGTTATATTTACTGGCTATTTAACCCCATTGGCATTGCATATGCATGCTATAATAAAATAAGAGGAATTCAATACAAGGGACGATTCTTGTCAGTCATGTGGTTACCATGTAAATGTATGCATGTAGAAAGGGCGCAGCGAGAAACTTTGCGGACCAATATACCATGCACCCTGACTCAGGAAAACATGCAACTGACCGAAATTTATTTTCGAATGTTGCTTTGATTCTCGCGTTAATATGCAATTGAAGCCAATAACAATGTCCCCTGATTGTTTCAACAGGATATCTCTACAATAATGTTAGTGTTGTTACTGTTGTAACGGCCCAAGATCTTTTCCCTTCACCTATTGTAAGTTTCGGATGTAAACGTTTCTATGATACCTCACACAGTCACAGAACAACATTGATCAACCAGTCCTTTTTGGCGAATTTCTTGTGCACATACAATGTATTTAACACATATTTCGTGCCACAGAAATATTAAGGAATATACTCCCCAAATACAAATAGTTGTGGTTATGACTATATGCTCACCGCCTTCACTTCGAAGCCTTATGGCCTTTAACGGTATGACTGTATGTCCAAATGCCATCGGCAGCGAGCGGCATACTACACTTAATTATTACACAGACTTCAGTACACAAATTGGCCATGGGACCATAATATTGAGAGGCGTGATAATATACAATATATGACATATGTATTTGAAATTGCTAGACTTATAGAACATTGATGTTATATGAATCATGCACTCAGAATCATAATGTACTAATCAGTACCTATTTGGGCACATTTGTCTTCCTTTTCATTGTACAGAATTATTTCTGTCTATCATCAGCTTCTGATTTATAATAACGACGGAGCTATGGAACAAATGCATATTTTTGCTTAACTATATATACATTAATTTGTGTCATATAGAACCCTTAATGACTTAATCCTTATATCAGTTTCATGATGCTTGTGATGTTACTGTGAGACATTGGGCAGGCTTGAAAAATATGCCTGGCCACGGTGGGAATCGAACCTACGACCTTTGGAATACTAGCCCAATGCTCTGCCAATTGAGCTACGCGGTCAGGTTGGTTCGAGTATGGAACTGAGTCTAGTTCCTTCGATATCAATGTAATCTAATAATCATGATATTTGCTGTGTTGGTTACGTGATATTAATCAACGCTGAGGTTTCAATGGTCAGTTCAGCGTTTATTGCATAACGGTCTGATGATACTGTAATGACCTTATATATAATTTGCAAAGATGTCGTGTGACATCAGAAAAAATATTCATTTCAAAATTAGTGTAAGTTACTGCAACCAGGTTTTCAATTAAGGAAGAGTATAAAAGTTCTTTCGTCCTTGAGTTATAAACTCCTCGATGCCAATGGCGCTTATATTGGAAACTTTTGGCTTTATGACAGCCTAGAGATACACTGCAGGCTGTATGCTTAATACAAAGAAAAATTCCGTCTTATGGTAAAGGAATTGTGAGTCGTATCGGTACCAGGGAACAGCCTGGGTACGGGTTTGCAATCTTATGGCAACAATTGTTCATTGCTTCTTGATGGCAATGCATTTAATTTAAGGGAATTTAAAAAAAAATCATGAGGAAATTATCTTTACCTTTATTTATTTGGAGTCTACTACTACTAGCATTTCTTGTAGACAGAGGAGGTTAGCCCAACCTCACAATCAAATGATTCCCTTTTTTGTATCTGCCCTTGCGCAGATGTGATCATGTCGGCTCGTTTGTTAGTAGATGATATCATGGTTTAGTTACTTCGTAAACCATTGACTGATCTACTCATTGGCGTGTGTGTGAACAGGACTTTGAAATCTCATGTAATTCCGTAGTGATGTAGACTGATGACGTAGTAGAATTAAAAATTAAACGAGACTTACCTGGTAAGTTGAAGTTTGATTGGAATTCTACAAGTCATCAGTCAGGAACGGAGGAATTACATGCCCTGGATCAGGCAAGCTGATTCCCTCCCGTCCCAATTCCTCCGTTCCATGCTCCTGTTCACACTCACGATTACGTTGAATATTGCCTAGATAGCTCGCGCGCGCTCTCTCATGTAATTCCTCCGTTCCTGACTGATGACTTGTAGAATTCCAATCAAACTTCAACTTACCAGGTAAGTCTCGTTTAATTTTTAATATATTGCCACCTAGATGAATTAAGTCCCATGCCATTTTGTGTTCAAAACTAATTGTTTTCATCAGCTCCAAGCATAACTGGGAAAGCTGGTTTCAATCCCATTAGCTGATCTTGAAACTATGTGCACACATATAAATATTTATTTTTTCCCCTCATGAATTATATTGTTTGCCCAAAAAATCAGTTGATTATTTCATCTAGAAACAGTGTGAATGTTGTTTGAATTTGGTATGTTCACTCTGTGACAAGTGAAAGTGATATGTAATTCATGCATAATATGGTGATTTTTACCATATTCATTAAGCCTATATGTGTCTCTCTAAGCCCATGTGTCTCTCTAAGGCCTACCTCCTCAATACAAATAAAACTCTGCTAGCCGGATAGGACTAAATAGGTTTTTAATTTTACTGACAAAAGTATGATGCATCAAAACACCCAATTTTTTAGACCAGCTGTGAATAATACTTCAATTAAACCCAAAAGAATTTTTATGGTAAAGAAGTAATTATGTAGGCTGAAGTATTTAAAATGTTTAAGAATGTATAATTGTTGGTTTTTAACCAAAGCCAAAGATATTTGAAAAGTATGATATGTCCGTCAGAGTCTCGGTGCTCAACTATCGGTGTATTATTTGTAAAAAGTGTCGGTAGTCACAATGGTGACAATAACATTTGTGTGGTTAATCTGGTTGAAGCAGAGAATTTAATTGATCTCCTGATAAAAGGCATGTTTTCTTGGGGTTGTAGCAAAGGTCTTCTAAGACAGCCCAGTTGCCAATTGTATTGAACCAAAGCTATTAGACAGGGTACAATTAAGATATTATTACAGTATCAATCAAGATATTATTACAGTATATACTATAAGATGCAACTGACAAATGAAGTATTTCAGAAAAATATTTACCCTAAAATTATTAGTGACTTGTGCCGTGACTAATATTATGTTGCAGCTTTGGTTCAAATTTCATAAATCATGAACCGATGTACAGTATTACATGTAAACTGCAAATGTAAACAAATAGGTGAACACACATCCAGTATACAGACTGTTATTTGCCTTTAAAACTCCTAAGTCACATATCACTGATATAAGATTCGTAGTAAATTTGTTGTTTCAAGATCACTGTATATTATTTCTCATGATTCAGGATTGGTACCCCCCCCCCCCAGACAAACAGAAATATAGATGATACATGTATCCCAAAAAATAAATATGAAATTAACTCACACACACAAAGGTTTCAAGGTACTATGTATAATTTCATTCACAACTGTCTTTTAAACTACATACATACGGAAACCAACCTGTCACTCGACCAGTTAATTGTTTCAAAATATTCTGCTTTGATAACTACATGTTTAATACACATGAAGAATTTCGTTTCCATAGTCATCCATAGATGTCCCCTCTGATTTATCCTTCCATAAAAGTACAATAAAATCCCAAGTGATATTCTTTAGTCAATACATAAAAATTACTTATAATCAACAATGTTTATTTAATTCTTTATAAAACGTCGCACACAAGCAGCTGCATTGGATACAAAATAGACAGTTTAAAGACAGATCACTCGACTAGTTTTCGCTCAGTTTGATCTTCGTCCTTCCATCTTTGATAAGTATTACCGTTACCTATTCCACAATTTGTTGAAAGAAAGTTCGTAGAATGCATAGATAATATATACCCACTCTTAAATCTCACTAGGAAAGTTTTATTTATCATAATAATATAAAAACTCGAAAACGTCGCGCCTTCGCGCTGCCATGTTTCATAAAATCAATCGGCTCCGCTCCCCCCGGATTGAAAACTAAATTATTACGAAATGTCCAATATTTTTGGAGTCACATGACCAGTGTTTACCAGGGCCTTTGCTTCCCGTACCACAGGAGGCCCAGGCTCGATTTGCCCGCGCCCGCCTGTGCCTTCCTTATAACGAGGGAAGGAAGGAAACATTAAGACCAAAATAGCCCAGACTGGCATATGTCACACGAAACTATCCTCGATTTTTCGCCTTTAATGCATTTCTTTCACGATTAATCGATATCCCCTGCAAGAATGATACCGTATAACTCTCAAAACAACGATGCTTTAATCAAAGAGCTTAAATTCGCTCTGAAATCCGTGAGGGAATAACAAAATTCGCCCAAAATATATCCGCGTGCCGGGTTTGCTGGACAAAAAGCGGAAGTCGTTGAACAACTCAAAATACACTCAACCCTGATTGGACAACGAAAATCAACAAACATTTCAAATTTCTGTAGTCAGTAATGTAATATAAATTTGAATCAAAACAATTAACAAATGTTGTCGGGATGAAAGCAGTGCAAATCTAAATATTTAAATTTAAGAAGTTTAGTCAGTATAATAACGTTTGTGAATTGTTTTGATTCAAATAATCAAATTATTACAGTACTGTTTCAAGTACTGTCCCCCTTCCCAGTGCCAGTGGAGAAAAATTTGAAATGTTTGTTGATTTTCGTTGTCCAATCAGGGTTGAGTGTATTTTGAGTTGTTCAACGACTTCCGCTTTTTGTCCAGCAAACCCGGCACGCGGATATATTTTGGGCGAATTTTGTTATTCCCTCACGGATTTCAGAGCGAATTTAAGCCCTTTGATTAAAACATCGTTGTTTTGAGAGTTATACGGTATCATTCTTGCAGGGGATATCGATTAATCGTGAAAGAAATGCATTAAAGGCGAAAAATCGAGGATAGTTTCGTGTGACATATGCCAGTCTGGGCTATTTTGGTCTTAATGTTTCCTTCCTTCCCTCGTTATAAGGAAGGCACAGGCGGGCGCGGGCAAATCGAGCCTGGGCCTCCTGTGCCCGTACCAGAGCCTCTGAACCGCGCAAAGGCCCTGGGTACGAGGTTGGTGATCGTTGCCCTTGGCGTGGACGCAAAGTGTGTCCTTTCGTAAAAAATCCTTATTTTAATGCCTGACATAAACCTAACAAACTAAACAAAGAATCACAACATTCCTATATCCCAATTCCTATACACGTAATTATTTAAGAAGAAACCACATAACGCTAGTGTTTCTTTTGTCATAAATATGTCAAAATTACTCAAAATACTTTTTATACTTTATTGTCAGCACACGGCATAATATAGTATTACTCCGCTTCGACCAAATCACTCGGCTTATTCGGCTCCAAAGCCTTCCAGGTACTTCCAGCCCAATAGAACTATCTTAATTTGTTAAAGTATTCGAGTAATTCGACAAAAAATGCAAGAAAAAAACAAATCCAATCCGATCCAACAAAAAACCTACAAAATCTGTATTGACGTACGAAAACGGATCATTCGTTGTTTTGAAAGTGTTTAATAAGTGTTTATAGCATAAGAAGTGTTCGGCTGCAGTTAAAAATAATTTAGAAGACATCTGTTATTAAAACCTTGTTTGAATCTTTTATCTTTCAGTCGTGTTTTCTTGTAGTTCCTTTCAGGATCTATAATTCTAGTACTGATGTTGGCCATGTCAATCAGGGTGGTAAAACCCTCAAGTGAATTCGAACCTCCGAACAAATTTGGGATAAATATATATTCACCCCCCCCCCCCTGTGTTACACTGATGTTTTTTGAGATTGGGTGAAGCAGGCCGGGTGCGAGTGGATAATGCATGTGAACCAGGCGAAGTGAGGCTATATACATTACAATCGGATGAACTTCTGTTGCCCATGGTCCAAAGTTTAAAAAACAGTTGGATGTTTTCTGACCAATTTACCGATTTTACGACCAAATGCTCTATTAATCAGAAATATACAGACCAATCAAAATACTGACTGGTCAGTTTTTTCAGCAACAAGTTCGGACAGGGTAAACAAAACTAGACTGCATTTGAATCTCGCACAAAATGATTTCAAACGAAACGATGAAGAGAAACATAATACGTATATTGTATATTTGTGGGAAATCTCTAATTGAAATTCAAGACATGCAGGAGCGCGCGCGGTCTTCACTTCAATGGAAGGACAATCACGAGGTTTTTATGTTTTTTGTATATCTATCTCACCTATTCTCCGATTCCATTGCTCTTAAGAGTTTTTGGAAATTGTTATGTAATTTAATTGTTGTCCGACTAGACTTAGACAAGGTTGATTAATTAATATAGTACGCCATTTTAATAACACTATTTTATTTTGTGTTATATACAAGGTAT